AGAGAGAGAGAGAGAGAGAGAGAGAGAGAGAGAGAGAGAGAGAGATTTACTAGATTAGCTTACAGGCTGAAATTCAGCCAATCCAACAAACACTGTCTACCAACAGAAGGTCCAAGAATCCAGCAGTTGGTCAGTCCACAAGGCTGGATGTCTCAGATGGTCTTCAGTATATACTGGAATCGTAAATACCTAGGCTCTTATGCCAGTGGAGGAATGAACTTACTAGCAAGAGTGAGAATAAGCAGGTGGAGAGAGGTGGCTTTATTCTTCCATGTCCTTCATACAGGCTGCCAGTAGAAGGGGTGGCCCAGTTTAAAGGTAGGTCTTCCCACCTCAAAAGATCATGATTAAATATGAGTCTTACCACTGCAAATGAATTAATTAAGAAAAATTCCTTAGGGATGGAGAGTTGGGTCAGTAGTTAAGAGTCCTGCCTGCTCCTCCAGGGGTCCTGAGTTCATTTCCCAGCAACCACATGGTGGTTCACTACCATCTATAATGTAATCTAATGTCCTCTTCTGGCATGTGGGTGTACACACAGATAGCTCACTCATAGACATAAAATAAATAAAGAAAAGAAAAGAAAAGAAAAATCCTTCACCGGTGTGACCAACCACTTGCGCTTTAATTAATTCCAGATGTACTCACATTGGCAACCATCACAACAACCTTATTCAGTTTGTATCACAGTTTATTAATCTTCTGATAAATGTGCTAAAGAGGACGTTGTTTGTTATCTGCTACTGTCATAGAAGTCATTTCAGGATTTACTAAACACGTGGGGAGCATACAAAGATTCCCTCTGTTCCCGAGCCTGATCATCCACCCTTGCTCTGGCCTTATCTGTTTATTTTCTAGGAGAGGCTTCAGGGACTGGAGAGGCTTCAGTGACTGTAGGTGTCAGGAAGTTTGGAAAGCCTATTTCATATATTTAAAATTTTCAGCCATGTTGCCATTGTTAAAAGGAGGAAAACAATAACAGCTTTATTGTTGATCTGTAGTTTTTCAGATTTTCTCAGTGGGTCCCAACAATCTACCACAGCAAAAGAAAACCCAAGGTCGCACATTCCACTCCAGTCCTCCTGTCTCCCTCAGTTTGGCCTGTGTTTTGTGTGGTAGCTACTTTGTTTGATACTGACTTGTGATGCAGTCTCCGTGTGTCTTCAGTGCTGTTTCCTCTCAGGACATCATCCCAGAGCCTGTGGTGTCCTTGAGAGCTTTGGTCACTTTAACACAATGGTTTTGTGGTGGTTTGAATATGTTTAGCCTATAGGTAGTGGTACTGTTAGGAAGTGTGGCCTTGTTGGATGGAGGAAGTGTGTCACTCACCCATTGGTTCAGTGTCCACCATGATTCCTCAGAACAATAGTCATTATCACCCTTCTTCCCAGATGTTCTTTCTTCTCTTTGTTGCTAATGTGATGTCTTCTCAGCCCTCTACCTATATCACAGTCATTAGAATACACACAGGTTTTGTCAGGTCTCAACTCTAATAAATATTGGGATTTTGTGGGAAATAACAGGCAGAGTCACAGGTGTGGGCTGTAGTAATCATCCATTTTAGAATAATGTAGTGGTTTAAGAGTGTCTCCTCAGGGTTGGATGTTCTGAACACTTGTTTCCCAGTTGGTGGCACTGTTTGGGAAGGTTTGGGTAGTAAAGCATTGTGGGAGGAAGTGTGTCCCTGGGACAGGTTCTGAAGTTAAATCTCCATGCTACTTCCAGTTCTCATTTCTCTCTCTCTCTCTCTCTCTCTCTCTCTCTCTCTCTTTCTGTGTCTGTCTGTCTGTCTCTGTCTCTTTCTGTGTGTCTGTCTGACTCTACTCTGTGTCTTTCTCTGTCTCTGTCTCTCTCTGTGTTTCTTTCTGTCTCTCACTCTCTGTTTCTCTCAATCTCCCTCCCTTCCTCCTTTCTTCATTCTGCTCCAAGCTGTGCTAGAGGATGTAAAATCTGAACTTCTCACTCTGACTGCCATGTCTGTCACTTGCTGACACATTTCTCTACCACAATGGACTCTTACC